ACACTAATTATGTCTTTATGAAATAAAAATAAAATACAAACACTTCCTTTTCATACCATTTAAATACATTGAGCAAACCTGTCGTATGTTTAAGCCTATTAATTATACAACATGCTTCAAATTAACAACTAATCGATACCACAAATTTGAACTATTTCAAGTGAAGAATGTCTCCTGTGGCTGGTACGTATTTGGTCTCTGAATGTTTTTTCTATTCACCGTGTCAACTCACCAGAGCCAATGCTGTCTAGTAAACCCATAAAATAATCTGGAGTGTCCCCAGCTACCAAAAAAATTAATGATCCAATGTTTCGTGCAGGAATTTTAAAAGTAAGAATCCCCATGTGTACCAAACACAGTGAAAGGAAAAAATTTATAGGCCATATGTGTACCAGCCACAGTGAATGGTATAATGCAAGATTTTAAATTTTCTAAGTAAACTGATAAGTTGTGCTTAAAACTTATTGAGCTTGCTGCTCCCTCTATAGGATAATGATACTAGAGTGTTTGCACAATAATCGAAAGCTTTACGTAAAAGTTATTATTGTTTTAATTTTATCGGGCATTTGTTCTCTAATCAGTTACCATACCTTGTGTTTTATTTCGGAAAAATGTACACTTAGGTCGTAGCTTGTCTGAAGAAACAGTACAGAAAGACTCGTTTGTCGGCCACGTGTGAAGCCGAAATACTAAGTGTGATGAGAGAAGTTGCTCAGGATTATCAGCTAGATCCAGTGTTAGTTCAGGCTTGTTCTGTCGAGGTAAGATGTTACATAATGTACGTGCTGCAGTATAGGTGTCTTAGTTAGTTTAATCTTTGTTTTTTATTTATGCTTCTGGAATTTATTTCCCCTTTGTATCTTTTGTGCTTCTTAAATTCTGTTATCTTAGTAGAATAGATTTGAATATTTAATAACACTGTTAGTTATCTATATGCAGATTATTTAACATTATATATAGGACTTTTTACGTAATGTAATGTTTAACTACAGTTTTCATCTCTAATGGGGTATTAGAAGATTGTTCTGATCCTACTAGGATCAAACAAAGCTGACGTTACATGGTTTCAATCCCTTTACCACAATAATAATAACCTGCTCTAAAGTTTATGCCATGGATGTATTATAAGAGTGATAGTCAAATCCCACCGTTCAGTCTGAATGGAATAGCCCAAAGAATTGGTAGTAGGAGGTGTTGACTAGCTGCTCTACCCTCTTGTCTGTCATTACAAACTTAGGGAGGGCTTTGCACAAGATCCCAGAAAAATAAAAACTGAACTAACTATTACTTTCACAAATAATGAAAGAGTGTTTGAATTATATGTCAAGTGTAGGAGACTGGAATCACTGTTATTAACATGTTTGTATAAAATATATATTTAATGCGTTTGACCTTATGTTTTCTACACCACTGCTAGCGTTAAGAAGCTCAATCGTAAAGTGTATTTCATTTCTAACCCACGTAAAAACCTGTGATATTATATATTCCAGATTCGTAACAGTTGTGAAGATCAAGAGGAGACTGTTGAGGACTGTCTACGAGCAAGATTCATGGACAAGAAAATCAAAAACCCAGAGTGTAAAAAGGTAACATCAAATATACATTAACACTAAAGATATAAAAAAGTAGCTCACAGAGTGGTGGTTTGTGTGGAATGAATTACATCATGTTAAGTAATCCAGAGTGTAAAAAGGTAACTTTAGCAACCATCAAATATACGTTAACACTAAAGATATAAAAAAGTAGCTCACAGAGTGGTGGTTTGTGTGGAATGAATTACATCATGTTAACTTACCATAATATTGATGCTTATATTTCTATAGAAGTGTACAGGGAGCCAAACAAAGTCTTTAAGTGCAAATAGCTATTATTAACTTGGTTTAATATTTGTATTTTTCGTAAAACAATCTGGCAATTATAAGTTATTGTCTATTATGCTAGATAATGCCTTATGTTGATGTCTTTATATCAATAGTTGACGAGACCCAATAATTTTTAAGAAGAATATATATATTTTTTTAACCCACTGGGTGATAGTTTTAACCAAACTCAAAGTTGAATTAATAATTAGCTTTACTCATGGGGTAAGGATTTGTCATATAACACCTTTAAAAAAGAATTAATTCCTTTTAGGAACAAAGATGAGAAACTGAAACTTACGTTTTCCGTGTCCAGCAGGGATATCCTGACAGTAATGTTTGATGTCAGTGATACAGACATGATAAAGAGTGGGATCTGATTGGATATCAGCATTTCCCTCCTGAATTAAACGAGCTACTTCCTAGAAGATTAAATAAAAAAAGATCACGTTTATATAGCAGCAAAGATTTTAATTAAAACTTTTATCTAATACGCCCTTTACAAAGTTATAAAACAAACTGTTCTGTGTGTGTGTGTGTAATAATTACCACCAGTCTAGTACTGAAAACTGCACATTCAAAGATAATATAATAACTAAAATGTTTTCCTAAAGTAGTATATATTTCTAAAAAGAATGATATTAATATAAAAACGCAATTAGTTTTCTGTATATTTTAAACAATTCAGCTAACACTTAGTTTATTCCTTAAAGCAAAAATATGTAAATTAACAATCGTTAGATTAATAAAATAGCAGTTAAAACAAGCACTGATTAAAGTTCTATAAGCTGGACTTCATATAACACATTTTAAATCACGTCAAAAATGGAAAACAATCTTTGATTAACAACTACAGAAAATCAAGACCTCATTATCCGAGAATCATAACCAAACCTATTTCAGATTCTTGAATAATTTGGAACTTTCTATGACAGTCTTGGGTAATGGATCTTAAAACGTTATTTGTTTAATGTGTTTGTTTTCAGTTGATGGTTGCAAATCATGGAATCGGAGAAAATATTAACAGTAACTCGTATGAGTAAAATCGAAGTTCTTTTAGGGTCAAACTATTGGCAGAAAAATTTATTGGGCTTCCATTAGAACTTTTAATAACTTATCTTTATAAATTCAACAATTTGCAAAACCATAACTATTGCACCTTTTTTTTTTCTTGGTTGCTTCCAGAACTTTCCTGTCTGTTGACTGTTCTCGAGAGTGGTACGGGATCATTATCCGAAGAGTGTAAAACTACACTGACAAAACGGCTTCAGATGTTTGAATATGCTGCTGAGGTACATGTATATGTAATATTTTTTCCTTAACCTTATTGCTCACTCGTTAACAAGATTTTAAGATCCAATTTGTGATGTTAATGAGTTATTGTTAAACAATTAAAATATAAAAGTTGTTACCTGTTCCACGAACAGTTGACATACTTGTCATGGAAAAGTTTCTCAGTTGCATTAATAATTTATTAAACAATTAAGTAATTTGACACCATGAATGAATAACAAATTAATTTTTTAAATCAAAGCAAAAACAAAAAAAACGGCCTCTGCCATTTCATTTACTTTTTGCTATTATGCGTTCATTATATGACTTTGAGGTACGTAAAGAGTGGGAACTTCACTGAGGTAGGGTAAATATTAAATGTTCTTATAACCCGTATCATACCTTTTAATGAAGACAAGTTTCGTTTCAGGTTGCTCCCGCAGAATGTAGAGGAATTAGTTCGGCAAGTTGCTGCTTCACCTGCCCGAAATTACTTTATAGTTATATCTCTGTGTGTGTTAGGATCAATCTTCTTTGGGGGTTTGTTTTGTGGACGAGTTACCAAAAAAGTTACTGCTAGTGCAAAGAACAAGTGAACATTGCCATCAAACCTATAATAGTTAACCAGAGTGGATTAGAAGATACGTTTATTTACACAATCACGTTATAATAAATAATATTCATGATCTTTGTCGTGTTATCAGATTATTGCATACGAGAGACGTTTTGATAATGTGTAACTTAAAATTAACAGTTGTATCATAATTGATATGGTAAAAATAACTGGTAATTTAACATTTTAAGCATATTCTGGGTTTTTAGTGCGTCGAACAAATATATCAAGCTTCACTTATCGATAATATGTTTTTTATGTTATGATGTAACATCTAAAATCAAAAGATCATTCTGGTTTGCAGTTGATATATTACACTGAGCTTACTGGGATCAGTCGTCTTTAGCTGTAACATTTACAACCCTGCCTTAAAAAATTACTTGATTTGAGAGTTTAACTATGGAAAGTTATGTATTCACAGTCTGGAAAGCAGCTTTTTGTGTATAAAGTTGCTATTTAGAACGTGGTAATAAATTAATAATAGATATATGCAATTTTTGGTTCTCTTTGTTCGTACTTTGATATTCCATATTTACAGCAAGAAATCTCTTACTTTGACAATTGAATACATATATATACTCACTCAAGACTTTAAATAATGGTTTGTAGTTTGACTATATTAAACTGTGCTTTTTTTTGTAATACATTGATAAAAGTTTTCTTATTATTTCTTCTGTACTTTCTCTAATATGCTTAAAGATGGGGGTAAAAAAAAAGTATTAACGTTTGTTTCTTCCATTGCTTTCGAATTAAAAACAGTCAGCACCACATCCATTTCACAAAGTGTTTCTTTACTGTGATTTTTTGGAACTACCCAGTTTTATATCTCGTGTATTGAGTGTCAGACCAAAATCGTGTGTAAAATGCTCTTTTTGAAATAAAATTATTGCATTTTACTGTTTTTGTTTTCCATAGATTTTTTTAAACTTAAGACCAAATTCTGTTTAATATAATTTTTTTAAAAATGAGTTACTGCTGTTCACAAACTGAAAGAGATTCTGGTTTGTAAAAATGAATAAATACAGATTGAAAGTTATATGAGTTATTACATTTTCTTTTCACAGTTTGCAATGCTAAAATTTGGATACACAAAGCAAATTGTGCTGAAACAAACTACATTTTCACCCAACTATTTTTTATTAAGAAAACAAAAAAGATGGCCATTGAACGAGTGTCAGCCAACTTTACGTGTTGTAGATAATAAAGGATAGTTGGAATTTATAGTGATTTAGCTATATCAAGACAAAATGTCTTATTAAATAATCACCTCGCATTCATCTTTTATACAGATCAGACATCTAATGATCTGTCATGTGATTGGTCAACTTGCTGCCAGGGTAACAAATCTCACTTGGCATCTGAAAGTACTCATAAGCCTTGCGTTTAACCTTCCATACACTGTTTTAGTGTTCAGTTGTGCCAAAACAGATAGCGGGTGTCTGCATGTACAAGTAACTAAATCACAGTGATTCCATGTTTTACTGACAAAATTTGTGGCCAATTCACCATGAGGCACAAACAAATCTGCCCTCAAAACATTATATATCCCAACTCTCTAGATGTAAAGCACCACATACACAAGATGATGCAAGACCAGGGGGGTATCTGTGCTCCATGTGAGAGATGTAAAGCCCCACACCATTATATAGCATCTTTTACTGTAAATTAACTAACTCTAGGGTTGAACTGTCTCATGAACTCGATCTGGTTTACCATACAAATACGTTAAAATTTGGTAAATACGAAATATACATGCAAACCACAACTCATTTTAACACTTATCATATGAACAGACTGAGTAACATTTTGTACCAAGTGCAGAATCACCAAAAATTAAAACTTGGAATTTGATTGCAGAAATGATACAAAATGAAAATATTAATGATAAGAATTTCACAACTTTTTTTATTTAGAGCAAAATACTATGTAGAGATGTGAAGATGTGGATATATAAAGAATTTTAGGTAACTAGAACCACAACTGCAAACAACCTCATTTGGAAGTTATTTACAAGAAGCTAAAACTTAAAAGTAGTTTAGTAGGTTTTCATAAAGATTTTAAACAAAAGGAAAATGTAATTTTGTAATGAAGCACACAATGTAGTTATTAACACCCTTCTCTGGAAGTGGTGATTGTACTTTATTTATATATTTTTCTTTACGTTGTTACTCAAGGTTCAATTTCCAACTAAAATTTGGAATTTTTTTTTTATCAGTCATCAGCAATTTAAATCCATTGATTTGAATTTTGTACAAAGCTACTCAATGGCTATCTGTGCTAGCTATCCCTAATTTAGCAGTGATATACAAGGGGGAAGGTAGCTAGTCAACATCACCCACTACCAACTCTAGTGGTACTTTTTTTTTTTTACCAATGAATAGTAGAGATTGACTGTCACATTATAACACCTCCAAGGATGAGTACGTATGAACCCGTGAACCACTGGTTGCATGGATGTGAAGCAATCAGTGGTCCAATGAAACTAAAAATAGGCTAATTCGTTGTCTTTTTAGGTCAATGATTTGTTCAAAAAAGGAAACAAAAAAAATATTTCTGCAAAAGGTCATTTTTTCATTGTGACCAACATGAGCTTACCCAATTTGCAGATAGGGGCAGTGTTAAATATGTATAAGCTGAAGCTTTTACCTGATTTTTTAAACTGAATAAGGTTAAAACCTTTGGGGGAAAGATAAATTTTTTAAAAACACTATGGACACCAGAATAGTGTACACATGCTCCACTGTGGGGTTCAAAGGTCCTTTATAATTCAAAGAGGCCCCAATGTACAGATCAATCTCCTTCATTGTCCCAAGTTTCTTCTATAGCTACCCCTAGGAAGGGGGGGGGGGTAGTCTTACTTGAAAACAAACCCCAGTAAGATGCCCATTGTGCCTGAGCATGTGTGCCATGTTTGGACCTTCTAGCTTGTGAATGGGGGTATAAACAGACCACTTTCAAACATGGTACTCCTTGAATCTGGGGGGACCAGGAACACAAAATCTTACGCCATATTCATGTATGGCTACACTGAAAAACTTATTCTTAGATCCCCATCAAGGGATGATTTAGTGGGGGGATACTACGATACATAGATAATGACAACCCTGGGCCATCCTACCAAGTTTGGTCCTGCTAGCTGTAAAAAACTATTGGAAGAGTTTGTGGACAAACAAATTCACAATGTGAATAATACAGGACGTCGCATTTGCTTTTCATACATCATTTCCTGTCTCACTGATAATAAGTAAGGTAATGTCAAACAATGCATCAGAATATTCTATCTTACAAGTTTTATTATGAGTAAGAAGTCTCTGTTAAAAAGATACAGTGAAATAATAAACGATTTTGGTGTTTTTATAAAAAGTATATTCTGAACTTTTGCACTCATTGTACACGTTTTTGTTTTGTTAAAAAAAAAGCAACACCATGGGCTAACTGCACTGTGCCCACTGCTTGTATCGAACCCAGATTTTTAGCATCACAAGCCCTCAAACTTACTGTTGAGTGCTTACAATACACGTAACGTTTTTCTTTTACACGGGATCAAATTCTCAGTACCAGTTCTTTTTGGAATTCGTTATTGTTTGTTAGTTTATTTTAGCAGTTCAGGTATCGTTAACTTGGGGAAAACTTGAGAGTCCTATACTGTGAGTTCAGTTCTGGAAGAATCGCACAGTATATATTTATGGTTAGGACGCTAAACTCGCAATACACGGGATCGAACATCGTCATAGCATATACTCGCCCTTTCAGCCTAGAGTGCGTTAGAATATGATCGTCAATCCCACTATTCGTTAATAAAGAGTAGCCTAAGAGCGGTGTTGGAGTTGACTAGATGTCTTTCCTTTAGTCTTATCACTTCAAAAATAGGGAAAGCGAGATGAGATAGCCTTCGAGTACTTTTGCGCGAAATTCAACAACAACAAAATAATAATAATCGCACCAGATTTTACAAATATATTTTTGTAGTTAAGGAAATGACAAGCGTTTTTTTTTTATTATTATTATTATTTATCTATCCATGCTCTCTTGAATAAAACAATGAGACTTTTGTTTTGTTTTTTTACACAAGCTCACGGTAATTCAAATATATACCACGTAAACGACTAAACAATTACACAATGTTATTGAATCTACCGTTCAAAACGTAAATTATTATTAACAAATGTAAACTGCATACAAAAAGAAGAAGAAAAATCGATTTAAAAAAGGTGTTTTAATCTTTGAGCAAAATCATTGCTTCCAAATGATATTTTGCCAAAAAATTTCCACTTGTAAACAATTAGGGTTTTTGTTTTGTATTTTGCACAATCTCACGATACGGCTAAGTAATTATAAAACATTATATATCGATTAATCTTACAGGTAACATCATAACTTAATTCCTTATGCTAAAAATTGTTTAACTATACTAAAAAAAATCGTTATTTTTAATCCAAATTCCAGAATGTTTGCAGCTTTGAAATATCTTAACTTTTGATTATCACCATAATCTTGTCTGTCTTTTTTTTTATCTGCTTATAGAGCAGAGCTGTTCTTTAAAGAACATTCACATTCAATAAAGTTCTCGTAAGAGATGTAAACACGTTATTGAAACTACCTAAATATTTAACTTATTGTTAACAAGTATAAACTGCAGAAAAAAATTCATTAAATCAAGATGTATATTCAATGAGCAAAATTATTGTCTTGAAATGATAAGTTTGCCAAAATATTTCACTTGTAAAACAAACGAAATAAAATAGGCATATGATTTAGCTCTTATAATTTTTTAGTTCCACTTGAACTTTTCAGTTTAACTTCATTTTGATATAATGCTTCAGCTCAATGGTTTTCATATGTTTTAGTCCACACACAACTTCGTAAAAAGAAGCCAGTCAGCCCGCGGACCACACTTTGAGAACCACTGCTTTAACTCAATGGAAATAAAAGGTCAACTGAACGAAAAAGTTTGCCGTCGGCATTGTAATATCACATCAGGATTAACTTATTATTATAAAACGGAAAACAGACACGAAAGGTTTAAGTAAATTAAATATAATTTAGCATTCTCAGTTTATAATTTTATATTGAAGATTATGGTTAATTTCTTAATAGAACTGTTTTAGCAAAACAATAATAAAGTCTACTTTAATTTCGATACCAGATGGCAGCACTACAGACGTTGTTATAGCAACGGTTTTCCAATCTTTAAACAAATTTGATTATCTCACTTGTTTAATGTTTAATTTATACAATAAAGGACGAGTGTAAATGGTGAGTATAATAGATATCCTACTGCTACCCATCCACAGTAGCGTATGACTGTTAAGGTTCTGGTACAAATCTACGTATTTATTTACCCGTGACTTTGTGTAACGACCATAAAGTTATCACGTAAAATAAACTCACTGTGTCAATGCCTCTTACGTAAGGGTTACCACAAAATAACGAAAGTAGAGAAGAAAATCTTAATAAAACTCACCGCTTGTACGTAAAAATATAACAGCTCTTCTTATTACTTTAATTAGGGCAATGCACCCAACTGTGAAACAACTGCTGTCCTAGTACTTGATCTTACTAGAAAAAAAAAGTTTAAAAAACGGCTATTATGTTACAGGGATCGTTGCTATTAAACCAAAGTATTTTATTAAGCTAATATATTTCGTATAGTGATGAGCTATATGAATTAGTTTTCATAAGCTTTCGACAATATAAAATAAACAGGCTTGTGGATTTACCTGTTGTTAACTGGGGAATTTACTTGATAGTTGCAAAAATTGATGTTTTAAGACACAATTTATGTATCGTTACTACAAAAGCTACAGATATAAGCCTACTGAAGTAACTGATCAAAGTAAAAACATGTTCAGTGTCCAGCATCTGACATGTATGTTACAATCAGTCTTCAAATAGATGCATTTTAAGACATGTCCCATAACTCCTTAAATGAACAATACTTTTCCTCAGTCTTGTACTTGTTCTTAAATTGTTGTTTTTTACGTTATGCTACCTTACTAGTATCATCTTTGATTGCTAAAGACAAACATCTGTGGGATTTAAGAACTTACTTTGTGAATTATGTTGTGAGGTCTATATAAAAATAATAAATGGGATTAAATACAGAAACCTTCATGTTTTAATATTTTTATGTTCTTGTATTGATTAACCCTTTAGAGTTAATATATAATTTTGTATACTAAAAATATTTGATGTTGGTAAAATTATATTTACATCTATGGATAGGTTGGGAGTCAAAGTGGCAAGTCTATAACCTCGTCTTTAAACAGTGGAGGTACACGATCAAGTAAATCACGTTATCACATTGTCAGTCATCAATCTGAAGTGGATGAATCGCTTTTTGGTACACCAGAAAAGGTATGTCTGTGCGTGATACAAATTTTTGCAAACATATAATTGGTGCTTCTTTTTCCTTTATTTCTGTCTTTATTTTCCATCCAAATACACTTAACCTTTGTTTGTATATACAGTATTCAGAACTTATCTTTTATTAATTATTAAATTTCTTTTTAAAGTTAATTTGTAAAAGAATTATGTATAACAACATGGTGATAGTTACTGCATAATGTATCTAAACTTTAACTTCTGTAAATTGGATTCAATAAAAATGGTACTTGTTTTATACGAAAATAAATATTATATAAATTTTGCATGGAGAGTACAGTTTAGTATTCTAAGGAATACAACATTAATACACTGAAATTATCAAAACTTTGTTCTTGTGTAACTTAACTGGTAAAAATATTAACAAAAAAATGTAACAATATAAAGAATACGGTTAATACCTTATACTGTTCTATTTTTTACATAGCAGACTAACTTTTCATAATGTCTAATGTATGTAGTTTGATTTTTGAAGAGAGACTAAAAGCTTGTCTTACATATCAGAATATGATTATGTTCATGACTGACCATTATTATACTCTTAAGAAATATATGTTATATTTGTTTATTTTTCTTTACATTCTAATACAAGAGACATGGATTTTCTTGGTTTTTAGTATAAATGTTGTTTTTTGTAGGTGAAGATAGCAAGTCATCCATCAACTGCTTTTAACATGAGGAAAGAAAAGGATTCAGCTGTGCAAGTCATTACAAAAGATTTGATAAGACATTTAGTGTAGGTACATATGTCAGACTATATTTTAATAATATACCTAATATGGTTGTCACTGGGTACGTAAAATTTTACCTCCAAGAAAAAACTCAGCATTAATCTTTACTGACATTAACTTTCATTTTGAGATTCTCTGCAGATGGTTAACACTGCCCAACACTCAGTTAATTTTCCAAAAGAAAACAATGGTGAAAACAATCACTTTATGTACATTTTTAGGGGGGGGGATTTTCTTTTACCTTTGGAGAACAATATCATTAGTAAATATGCACTAACGTTTTATACTTATAATGAAATCTCATAATTGCCGTGACACTGTAATTTATTTTGTCTGTTTTCTTAATTACAGTTTCATAGAAGAGAGGTTAAAGTCTAATTTAGAGCTGACTGTTTTTAACAAAATACATATTTTTTATTCTGATATGCACATTTTATAGGGGTTATTTCACATTATTTCTTTTAATATTAATATTTAAAACAATATTAACAAAAAGATACTATGCTGAAGAAAGAAGAAATACAAATGAAAGTTCAATGAATTTTTTCATTGTAAAGTTCTTTACCTGCCCATGAATTGATCCATTATTTGAGATAAACTATATTCTTGTTTTCAGAATCCCAAAGAATGAATCCAAAACTAAATCTGTAATTCTAGCAGAGAGGGAGTTGGAGCGAATTCGATCAGCCTCTAGAGTACTTAGTAAAGAAGATCAGGACAGAATGTTGGAGATGTCAAGCAAGGAGAAAGAAGCCTTAAAGGTTAAATCAAATATACATATGTTTTTTTTGTTACTGTCAATGAGTGTACATTGTTTGTGATAGCGATTATGATATTAGGATTACTTTATTATTAATTCTAATTTTCAGCTACAGTGTGAAAATTGAATTGGAGCAACTTTAGTGTAAAGAATAGCATTTAATATTCAATTAGTTTTTTAATTTAACTGAAAAGTCATGGGTACATACAAGAATCTATGAAGAAATAACTAAATATCCTAAGAATTTTTCAATGCCTCTCTCCATTCTCCAGCACCTAGCAATTACTTACGTTATTCGATGACGAGGAACCCACTTTGAGACTAATAATGGCTGGAGACGGCTTGAATGGGTAATGAAACGTTGTCGAAACGTTGTACATTTGCTGTCATGTTAAACTTATATTAAAGTTTTTCTTCATTACCCATTCAAGCCATCTCCAGCCATTACTTACGTTATGTTCAGCGATTCTGAATGACCTCAAGAAACTGCAAGAGGATATCTCAATAATACTTAAAACGTGCATTACTTCCCTCACCCTTGCACCTAATCCTTGTAACTTATCTCAGTCATGCTAATGAAAAATAATGTACACAGTGTATCTATCATCTTTCAATTTTCTTTAAAAAAGGAAGCAGCTGAAAAACGCAAGAAAATACTTCAGAATCTAGACCTTCAAAGACAACAGAATGAAAAGCTCGATGACTTCGAGGAAGAAGCTCACATCAGAGCCCAATATCTTTTACAACAAGCCAATCAACAACGTCAAGAGCAAGAAGATGAAATCAAACACTTAAATGAAGTAAATTCTGTTCATTGGTAACTAATGGTAGAGAACATTCTCCTATAATTTAAACAAGTCTTTCACTTGTGACATCAGTAAAATTATAGTAACATTTTTTGTTATAGTAAGATGTTCAAAAAAGATATTTTTTTCTTTGAGATTTACTTAAAACTGATGAGGATCTTAAAAGAGCAAATTTATTTATATTTTAAGTTAAACAATAGTTTTGTCAGTACAGCTTAAGTTCTATTATGCTTTATGTAACTATTTTATTTTCACATTTAAACCTTTTCAAAGATATACGTTTTATTCTTTCAATTTGCCTTTGTCCAGAGTTTCTAATAAGGGTTGGAACCCCCAAAACCAGTATAACTCAGTGACAAGTGGTAAATCAGATGACAGATTCAGCTTCACATTTATTTTTTAAGTAATTTTCACATTCTGACAATACGTGTTGTATCAAGATCGTTACAAACATAAAGACTTCCCTTTTGTTTTAAATGCATATAACTCAACAAAAATTTTATTTCAGCTTATACTGAATGCCAAATGTCAAACAATAAGAGATTCTCAGATTCTGGAAAAACAACAAATAAAAAAAGAACTAGAAAAAGTAGAAAATATTTTGGATGAGTTGATGGAAAAAGAACGGCAAAATTCTCTTCACCATCAACAAGAAGTAGAGAAAAAACAGAAAGATGAAAGACGAAGGTAAGTGTACGATTTTTATTAAGTAAAAAATATGGAACAATACTATCTTTAAGTGAAAACAAAGCTTTTCGATATCAAGTCTAAACATATGTAGGATCTGAGATAAATATTATAACAAGTTTTAGTATAATATAGTTATATTAGGACTACTGATAACTTTTTAAGCTATTTCTTTGTTTCGTTGCACCAAGAGTCCCAGATTTTAAATTGAGAGAATATATGGAAGGCAGCTAGTCAACATTACCCACTGCCAACTCTTGTCAAACCAAATAGTGGGATTTGACTGTTACTTTTATAATGCATCCACAGCTCCAAAGTGTGATAATACCAGGATGTGAACAATGGAACCTCAGCTCCACAGTCTGGCACTTTAAATGCTAAGCTTTACTTGGTCCTTTTAAACTTTTATCAAAAAATGAAATATTTCCATATACCAGTGTAAAAGTTAATTAGAAATTACCTTAATATTTCTGGTGTTACTATTATTCTTATTTTTTTCGATACACGAGAAGACTACTATGTTATGAGTAACCAAACAGTAACCTTTACTAATATAAAACATATATTCTCGTCTGTCGGAAATCATGTTTTCTCACAAGAGATAGAATTTTTATTCACATTTGTTGCAATTTTAAACCTGATGATTTTTTTATTGAGAAGTTCAAACTTCCTTGTGACAACTAAGGAAATAAACTAAACTCGGAGTAAATCTTTGACAGATGTAAATGTCATAAAATTACCATTTGAAGAATATCAGTTTAATTTACAAAACTGGATTGTATCAGGAACACAACAGTCCCTAGCAATGTTCGGAACATTTACTTATCTTTATAAAAGCAGATGGTAATAAGAATAAGTACTGATGTGGAAGATAAATATTTTACAGACATGTAACTGGTAAGTTGAGCTGAATTTTAGAAGTGGTCTCATGTTTGGTACATATCTCATGGCTCCAGTGTTTTTGGTAATTCCTAGTATGTACTTAGAGAGGCTTCCCACTGTATCCAAGTTACTATTTCATCTGTTCATGTTTTCCCATAGACATGCACTGATGATTCAAGAGCAGATTAGAGAAAATGAACAAAAAAGGATAATGGAAGAAGAGAGAAAAGAACAAGAAGGCTATCAGATGCTTAAGAAATTAGAAGAGCAACAACTTGAAGAATTTCAAAATATATTAGAGAAGAAAAAACAACAGGACAACCTCATGGTATAATTCATAATAATTCTTAAACGGACCATAAACCGCTGCAAGTAAACAGTATCATAAAACAATATCATCACTTTTTTCTGTTTTCCTAGTGAGCAACTACTTTTGTTTATTTATTCAATCCTTATAATTCTGTATTTGATGCTATTTCAAATGAAGTGTAAAAATTTAAAACTAACTGTAAAATGGAACTTAAAATATATATGTATATTAGGCTTGCCTTCTTGAAGCATATAAATAAATTGCCTTTAAAGCTGAATCATCAAAAAAAAAGGGGGGGGGAATCGTGTAATTGTTAAGTGCTGACACATTGTTAGGTGCAAAGAATGGGTTTTATTTGGGGCTGACGTGCACATTTAAGAAAGACAGTAGAGTAGTTGTATTTAGAGTTTGTGGATTAAGGAGAACTGTGGATAAAAGAAAGTTAAAACTGTAGGAAATGGCAGCAGGATTTAACGAGGATATTTGTAGAGCAAATAGAGGCTAATGATGTAGGGAAAAGTAGGTCAGAGAAGTTTATTGTTGAGTATGAGGCATTAATAAAAGCATTCAAACAAAAGGGCCATAATACTTAATTCTGTCAGGGATACTGCCAAGACTTAACTATAGGGATGAAATTATAAGTAGATCACAAGGGCTAAATGGTAGGCTTAGATTAATATGTAAGAAAGATCAGTTAAGTGAGAAAAGGAAGCTTTTTGGAACAGAAGGTTTACACGTAAATAGGATAGGGGGCTGGCTTGTTTGCAAGGACTATTAATTCAACTGTAAGGGCAACTTTAAATTGGGATTAGACAGTGGTGAGGGACAGAATAATGAAGAAAAAATAAAATGTAGAGAGGGGTACAGTGTGGGGGAAAGGGTAGTTTTAAATGGTAGGCTTAACTGTTACTATTATAATGCTAGAAGTATAAGAAAAAATAGATGGCTATAATGGGAATAACTGAAACTTGGCTAAATGTAGACAAACAATTCTGATGACAAGAATTTCTTTGAAATACCAAGTTTTTAGTTGTTTAATAAGGGAGGAGTGTAAAACGTGAGTTATAGCCTGTTCGAGTTGATGATATCGAAGCTAATATCAACGAGGTTGAATCTATTTAAGTTTCTGTTAGTGGTTATAATGGGAGAAGGATTTTAGTTGGGACTTGGTACAGACAACCAGATAAAATTAATGGAAAACTGTACACTGAGATAAAGAATTCAGCTGTTAATGAGGTCATAATAATTTTAGGCATATAGATTGAGAAATGTTAGAATCAAATCATGAGGGAGCCAGGATTTTAGAAACTTTTCTTCAACAATGCTATTGTACACAGTTCATAGGGTAGAGATTAGGGAACACCTGGATGCAGGCAAACGTTACTGATGTTTGGGAATATTTCTTACAAACAAAAGAGGGTGGCTGCAAATAAAAAAACCAGGTTGGCTCACAAAGGATATAAAGAATAAAATTAAAGAAACATTAAAATATTAGAATTAAATTGTCTG